CCTATTATAGTTTACTAGTATGTTTGTTTGACTGTTACTGATTTGTAGAAAAGACTCAATTACTAACCATAAGCAACTAAGTTAAGTATGTACCTTAAAATGGGTTTAATATTCATATATGTATTTAATAAGTATAACTATGATTTAACCGACATTCGGACGAGTGATCCTACCCCAAGCCCACAACCAAACAAGGAACATGAGTCAAGGTATCTAGCAATAGTCGTAAGTCTGTTAAAGCATACTTATACGTAAATAAATATACGAATATGATTTAATATAAAAGAAGTTTATAAAAGATTTAAAAGAGTTTTAACAAGTTTTGAGTATAAGAAATCCTTTTGGATGTTGTTTTCATATGTAAATGGTTAACACAATTTCATTGTGTTCTACTTGTATTCCCCCCTTAAAAGCATTTAAAAGCATTTAAAAGTGTATTTGTAGGGGTATGAACTCACCCGTAGTGAGTGATTCGAATGAAAGATCGATATAGGATGCTAAGTATGCCAAGTGAAGTCCCGAGCACAAACGGATCCTATTTAACATATATTAACATATATAGGCATACAATTAGTGTTTATAACAACTAAAGTGTAAGGGAAACAACCTTAGGATCTAGGAAACACTTAAAATGAAGTGTTAGAATCGAAAGTAGGAGGCTGAAAGAGGTTCACGGCCAAACAAGGGGTGTTCACGGCCCAAAATCCTAATAAGGGTTCACGGCCCAAAATCCTAATAAGGGTTCACGGCCCAAAATCCTAATAAGGGTTCACGGACCTTAGAGGGTTCACGGCCCAAAATCCTAATAAGGGTTCACGGACCTAGCTTGAATGTATGAAGGGTTCACGGCCATGTTCTTGAATGTATGAAGGGTTCACGGCCAAAGAGTGGTTCACTACCCTATGAACACTTTGAAGATCTTGAAGATGATGAAGAAAAGTGATGAATCAATGATAGTTTCAAAGGGGTTTCTAAGTATAACCAAGTAAAGGGGATGAATGCTTATGTTTTTTAGGAGAAAAGAAGCCTTTGTGTGGATGATACTTGAGAGAGAAATGATGTATTCACGGCTGGAATGTGAGAAGTAAAGAGAAAAATGGTCAAAACTCATGTATAAGGCATGAGTTCACGGCCAAGGATGGGTTCACGGCCGTGAACCTAGTTTGCAGCCGTGAACTACTTTTGATGGTGTTTCCGGATCGATTGCAACTCAATGAACTCAAGCTAACACTTACTAACACACAATCATTGAGTGTACTAGGCTTAGAACTCATAAAATGACCCTTAACAAGGCTAAAAGGTAATAGAAACAAGTCTGGCTTTTGATTGATTGAATTGACTTACAAGATAGAAATTTCGGGTTGTCACAAATAATGGCATGTATGGTGTGGAGATATGTTGGATAAAAGAGTGTAAAGTTGCTTGGGGTTAATTGTGTGCTTTGCATGGGGATATGATGGATAAAAGGGTGTAAATTTGGGAGTTCAAGTCACAATGTCAAAATTTCGAGTCTCTCACCCAACCGAGATCCTAGAACCGAGGCTAGGGTTTTCGGTCTCATTTGTGTCACCGAGATCTCGGTCCAATGAGGTCGAAAACTAGGTTCTCGGTTCCAACCGAGAACCCTAGGTGCGAGGTTTCGGTCCGAGGGAAGGGAAGTTCTCGGGTTGCAAGGCTTCTAGGTTTTAGGGCATCTCGGTCCAGCCTAAACACTTCTAATTCATATTTGAGGCTTCGAACTCATTGATTCAACTTAAAACATTCTTTATGCAAATTAATATTGATTCTTTGAATGTTTTATTACAACAAAGTTGTACTAGGGTTTTTACATTACACATAGCTATACTTTTCTTGATCCAAAATTCTCCAGTTGTCACACAGGAGCACTTGTGGCGGAAGGGGCTTGATTCTTCTTCATCCCCGACTCAGCATTTTCTAACAAGTTGTGGAGTTGGGTCAATGTGGTCTCTGTGTTGTTCAAATGATAATTTAATATAAACTAATCATAACTGTGGGTCAATATGGTCAACTCTTTGTCAAAAGACACATTGAGCTTTTCCAAACGCTCCACATATCTCTGCATTCCCTTCACATGGGTGCACATAGAGTTTCCTTCCTTTAACTTGCATGCCATCATCGACTTGCCGACCTCATACCTCTCTTGAGGTGCTTTCTTGTGAAACTTTTCCGCAAGATCCAAGCACATCTCGTATGGCCAATAGTCCTCATAGGACTTTTGCAACTCGGGTACCATGTTTGAAACCATGATGAAAGCGACCTTTGTTGCGTCGTCAACATGTTTATTGTGGAGAACAATCTCTTTATGAGTAGCAGTTGACTCATCGATTTCGTTTAGGGGCTTTGCTAGAACATACTCTTTGTTCTCGTATCGAAGAGTCGTCTTGAGATTTCGCATCCAGACCATATAGTTAGGACCAACTAATTTCTCTTGCGAAAGGATTTTGAGAAGAGTGAAGTTCGAGTTGTTGGAGGTTTGAGCACCTGAAGCATCATTAGAAGTTAAGAGAGATAGTTTTAGTTAGTTGATATAAATCCTCAATATTTTAACCCAAGATAAATATTTAAGGATAGGATCCAATATAATAATTCACAACTAAGAAGAGGGATGTCGTAATCTTGTTGTGAACTTATGAAGCTATGTAAAACAATTCACCAATTTCAATCTATGAAATTCCTAGATCTTTTGAGATTCATCGAATCTTATCAATGACATGTTTAATCTCAGATTCTGCTCTTCTATTTGTGACTGGGATGCCGAGGATCACAAATAATATGCGAATAACCATGCAAACACGCTTGGCACCCTCGATGTCATGTATCATCTCTAATTAATGTTCCGGTTAACCACACGCACACCATTAACAATGATAATTTCCGAGATGCCCATCATTTCTATTTAAAGTCCCTATTAGTGTGTCGGTTAACCACACACACTCCACTAACGACATATTAAAGTATGATATGCGTTTTCATAGATTAACATACTTTTCACATTTTCCTAAAGTAACTAGAGTGAGATTTTTAAAGAAGGTTCTAGTACTTTGATATCATTATACTTTTAATGAGATTATGTCATATCAAAGTCGTTCGGCTAACGACCCTCCACCATACAAGGGAGCGGTGGGTGAGAGTGGACACTCAATAACTGTCATTTTATATGTCGTTTCCTGATACCCCCCCCCCCCCCCCTTATAGTATGGCTTCGTAAATGAGACGTACTAGCGATTTGATTGACTTGTTTTATACATATAATATATTAAATTTTTAATAGTATACATATATAAGGTGTAATTTAAAACCTTTCAAAATACATGGTTTAAATATTGATTATCTAAATTAAACCTTTAATTAATTAATATTAAAACAATTATGATTTATCTTTATCTTTTAATTAACCAATTAATTAAATCGTCTATGGATTAAATAATTATTTGAATCAAACAATTAATAAAATAATTAAAATTTAATCGTAATCCAAACCCTTCTAATTTTTGAAAATCAGGGTTGGGTTTATTAGGTTTTAATTATTCAAATTTTAAGGCTTTTTTAATAATAAATAAGGAAACAACATAAAACCCTAAAGGAACCCCCCCCCCCCCCCCCCCCCCCGTATTTTCGAAAATAGGGTTAGGGAGGCTAGGGTTTCAAGAAACCCTATCAAAATCAAAAATCCATGGCCTTTAGGGTCTAATTTCTATAAACCCTAATTTTGATATATTCACTATTATGCACAATCAAATAGAAAACTATGACTCTGATACCATTTATGGGTTTTGTAGGTTATAATTAAAGCATGAGGCGTAAAAACTTAACCCTTAAGTTCACATGCAACCTATTTGAATCTAAGTTTTCTCTATTGATAGCAATAATCTATGAACATCAAGAACCCTAAAGAAACCCTACTATAATAGAAATTTACAAGGGATTAGGGTGTACATACCTTTTGTTTATTATTGCAAATAACTAATTAATTCCTCCTTCAAGAAGCTCTAAGAAAGCAAGCACCATAAATCTAATGTCTCTTATGGTTTGTACCCAAACCCTAGCAATTTGAACACTTAAGGAGAGAGTAGAATGGATGAGATTTTCGGCTATCCTTCTTGGAATTAGAGTGGCCGAAAATCATAGGGTTAAAGGTTCTATTTATAGTTGAACTAGGAAACCCTGGAAAACCCTAATTTGAATATAGTATTATTTTTCAAATTAGGTAATTATCCACCTTCCTAATTATCCTTAAGGAATATTCCAGAAACCCTAAGTATGCCTCCTAAGACCGTCCAAGGCATAGGAAGGTTCTGGAATACCTTATTGTTCAACTATTGAACAATTATAGCTTTAGTTCTTTTACTTTTAATTAATCCAATTAATCTCAAAATTAATTCTAATTAATTTCTGATTAGTTATTAATTAAATAATACTATTTCTAATTAATATATTAATCTCATAATATATAAACAAATTATTTATTGCTATTTATTAATCACGTAATAAATCAATAAATCAACCTCTCTCTCCAAAAGTCATTTTGGTCAAATACTAATCTTGAGGACAACCCAAAAGGACTTTGTTTTTAGTTCAAGTATATACCAATTTAGTTATTGGCTTAGACACCTAATCCAACATCCCCTTCTCTTTGTATGCAAGTGAATATCGCATGGGCCTTTTGTTGAAACTTTCGTTGTTGAATGAAGCTATTACAAAATTTCATACAAAGTTCCTTAAAACTTCTGATACTCCTAGGAGGGAGGCTAGCCAACTGATATCGTGCCAATCCATCAAGAGTTCCCGCGAAATACAAACTCCACAACTTAGGGTCCAATGGAATCATCTTGATAGCCCATTGAAAAATTGACACGTGATCATCTGGGTCCCCGGTACCGTCATACGACTTTACTATGGGCCCCTTTAAGCTGAATGGAATTGGAGTGTCGTTTATTTCATCAGTACACAGAGACCTGAAGTTAAACCCTCTGAAGTCCCTAATGGTACTCTTTCGTTTGTTTTACTCTCTGTGAGGTTATTTTCCTTCGTTCATCACCCCCCCCCCCTTTTATCTCCCTCTTTCTCTCTGTTGTGTTTGTCATTCGAGTCACCGGATTGACCCGAGTGTATATATACATAATCCCAATCCTTTTCATCGATTTGTATCTTTTGAAAGCTTCAAATTCCTCCATTTCCTTATTCACGACCCCATGATCTTTTGAGGTACCTATCAGGTTGTGGTTCTTAACGACAATAGTCACTTGTGGCATTTCTGCTTGTGCTTCCAAGTCTTGCATTCTTGGTATTGGGCTTGCTTCGATATTGGGATTATCAGTAGTGTTTTCGGTGGTGACCATTTATTTTGAGGTTCCACGGATGGTGCCACTTGTTGTATCTCAGATTTCTCGAGTATTGAGTCTTGGATAATGATGTTGTGACGTTCGGTCCGAGATAGTCCGAACCTGAGAGAAAAAACAAATCGTTAAACGTCTACCGGGCTTCTAACCCGGGAGAACACTCTGATGCCAAAGTCAGAAAGCAAGATAGGTAATTAATTGATACAAATTGAGGAAAAGGCTTAAGTATATGTACCCCTTTCGTGTTGAAGTCGGACTCCTTTTATATCCTCGTGCATGGGTAAATGGCAATAGAAATGGGCCGAGCAGGTGTCCGTCTCATCTTCATTAATGTAGTCGGGGTCGAAGGTACAAAAATAGTGTTTAGGAAGTGTAGCCAGTCTTGTCATTATGAATACACGAGTTACAACAAATCGTTAGGCAATCACAGGCCGTCGTATGTCATTCCCTATGCCCTTTTGATGTACTCGGATGCTTGTTCACAACATATTTGATTATTCAAATGCTTCGACTAAAGCTTCATCGTTTCGTTCAATATGGTTGTATATCGCGCCGACCCTAGTGCTTCGGTCTTTCGTTCAAGGTTCAGGCTCGGCGCGCCCAAAGTAGTTTATGGGAGGGCAGGAGGCAATGGCGGAGCTAGTGGGGTGGCTTGCCGGTGTTTGGCCTCCCCCAACGTTTTCAAAATACTACCACACGTTATATAATTTGAAAGAAATAAAGTCAAATAGTCATATCTCATATGGAGTTAAAGTATAAAGTCCCTGTAATCCAAGTTAATTTCGTCCATAATTCCAAACATTTTTTATTTTACCCACTTACCCCCAAGTTCCAACAAAAATATATTTTGGCTGCAAAGTAATTTTTAATTGTATTATATATGTAACTTTTTTTGTAATTTACATTAACTAATATTATTATGATTGTTAATTTTGTTTTTGAATAATCGCACTGCAAATCATAAGTAAAAAAAGTAATTGATTATTCTTATAAACGAAAAGAAGACGTTTATAACCAATAATTGTATCCCGTTTGTGGTATTATTAAAATATATGCTAATAATACAAGTCAACAACCTCAAATAAGTATTATGGAAGAGTTAATCAATACTGAACTTCATTGGAAAAAATTGAAGTGTTGGATTTAAGAGAGATAAAATAAAATTATTTGATTCGTGATTTCGGAGAACAACATTCAATCTTAAGAGTAGTGTTTAATATTTTATTCAATGTCGGCCCCTTATTCTAAAATTTTTGCACCGCCCGTGATGGGAGGTGGCATACCCCATTAGTGACCTTTTTACCTCAAGAATCAAGATGAGGTGTAGTTTATGTCTGAAAACCCAACATGTACATTAACTATAACTAATCCCCAAAAGCAAGTTTTGGTGTTGTTTGGACTTCGATAATGTAGATAGTTGGAAATATGACAAGTTTTGCTATATAAAGGAGTCATTAGCCATTAGACACATACACAATTTTCCTCTTTTATCAGCAATTTCTTTTTCTCATGTACATTTATTCATTAAGTTAATAAAGAATCCCCAGGAAAAAGTAGCTTGGTTTTTGGGCTGTGACGTGTTTCAGATTACATATTTGATACACTTTAAACACATCATGTACAACTTTTACAATAAAATTTCAAATGCAACCAATTATACTAAATCAAAGCGTAATTTTTTCCCTTTCTAGATGTGAAATAAACAAACTTATACTATTAAATGTTATAACCAATGATTATATAACTGAAACAAAATTAATACAATATTGATGATTTTAATATGGACCATTTCGCTGAATGAAATTGATATAAATCAATAGAGTTGTATGTTACTTCGTTTAAAGGAACCGATTTATTGGATCTTAAACAGTCACTTATGATATTTAACCTCACAATTTCATTCAGATCCACATATCTCACCATTTTGAGCTGAAAACTTGATGTCTTTGAAAGATAAGCAAAAGTTATATATATGATTTGCAAAGTTTTTAGAAGAAATCATAGAAGCCAACACATTACACATCCAACCCTATTTATAACAGAAATTAGCCTCCTAATTACCCCCCTACTGTAAGTCTTGAAAAGATACAACTAAATTTTACCCTACTATAAGGTACAAATTTAAGCACAATTACCTTCTACCAAGCAATTTCAACATGACTATTGACTACTCTTATATCTCTGACTGACTTTAACTAATTACTGACATCTACCAATCCATTGTAATGTAAAAAACTAGTATATCACAGAAGATCCCATCCCTACATCTTCTTTCTCTTCTTTCCGCCCTTTGACCCACTGTTTTTACCCTCGGTTGACTTTTCTGCAGCATCACCATCATCTAATTCTTTTTCATCAACACCGGTTGACTTTGATTTTGACTTTGACTTTGACTTTGTGGAGTCACTTTTACCCTTTGATTTGTAAGTAATAATTTTGGATAATGTCTCATCATCATCAGTGCTATGAACTTCAGTGGGTTTCTTCTGTTATTTAACATCAATAAATAATATTTAAAAGAAAAAGATAATTTGACAAAAAATCAGCATACATAGAAATAGAATTCTCACCTCATTTCGTGCAGAAAACTCTTGCAAAATTTCCCATTTTTCTTTTTTAAGATTCAATGTTTCTACATCTCCATCCACATATGAAACCTGTTTTATTAATTAAACTCCGACAACATGAGTGATATAAACGATAACTTAAAATTTTATAAAAATTAAAAAGGTAAGAGTATTGAAATGACCTTATGCTTGTTTTTAGCAGAATCAAAGGATTCAATAACACCTTCGTAATACCTGCAATTAAGAATGTGAATAATAAAAATATGTCAAATTTTTAAATAAACTTTTAAAACTAGGTTTTAGGCCGCTTACTTATGATCATCAGGCCACCAAACTTTAACCTTCAAACCAATCAGGCTATCATCATACTTTACGTTCTTGTTAGCCTGTGACTATAATAAGTAAACAAAAAGTCAGCTTTTGATTCCTTCTTCTAAATAACATACAAGGCCAGAGTTATGAACATTACATTATTTTTACCAACGGATCTTTTTCGTTTTGAGGTTTCCTCCGATTTACCTTCCTCTGCAAGCTTTGGAGAAATATCCATCCCCTTAAAAAAGGTAAATAGTTTGATTACTCCAAGTGCAAAAAAAAAACAAAGGGTAAAAAAGTAAAATAAACAAGTTACAATTACATGATCATCATCTTCAGGCAAGGATTTTGCTTGGTCCTTCTCTTCAAGTTTTTTTTTACCACTTGAGGCGTTCTTTTTTCCATCTTTGTTCTTTGCCACAGAAGAAGAAGAAGAAGAAGTGTTTTTGTTACCTTTTTTAGCAATAGCAGGTAACTTGATTGGTTTTGAATCTGAATCACTTTCATCTTCTTTACCAGCAGAAGACTGTCTCAGTGGTTTATCAAAAGAATCACTCTCATCATCCGTTTCAATCAATGGTGTTGTTGAAGGTTTAACCTCTGCATCCACTTTTTTACCATTCAGTTTTGCCTTTTTTGCCCCTGACTTTCCACCACCACTTTTCTTACCAGACATCTTACGCTTCCTTTTCGCTGAACCACCACCACCGCCCACTTTCTTACCTGAAGCAACTGTATCCGCTTTTTTCTCGTCTTCTGGTGTAGCAGTTGTAGCTGGAACTGGAAGTTTATCTTTCTGAAGAATTGATGCCTTCTTTTTCTTTATAACATCTATTAGAGGTGTATCATCTTTAATCATACTCTTTTTCTTTGAACGAGGACCTTTTCTAATATGAATCTTATACTGTAGGCCCCCACTTTGTGATTCTAAACCAGCATTTGCCACCTCAGATTCCTCTTCTTGAGGTGGTGATACCTTCTCAACATTCATCTCTTCCGGAAGGCTCCCACTTTGTGATGGACCATTTACAACTTCAGTTCCTACTTCTGGAACAGAAACTTCAATTTCATCGGCTTTCTCATCTTTATTTTCATCATTTTTCCCATCTTTATTTTCATCGGCTTTCTCATCTTTATTTTCATCATTTTTCCCATCTTTATTTTCATCGGCTTTCTCATCTTTCTTTTCATCGGCTTTCTCATCTTTCTTTTCATCAGCTTTCTCATCTTTCTTTTCATCGGCTTTCTCATCTTTCTTTTCATCAGCTTTCTCATCTTTCTTTTCACTGGCTTTCTCATCTTTACTTTCACCATGAGAAGAGGCAGAAGTTTCGGATGATGTCATGGTGACATCAGTCTTATTTACTTCCTTATTGGAAGTCTCTTCTGGTTTTGATTCTAATTCTGGAACAGAAACTTGAACATCATTTTCTCTCTCATCTTTGTTTTCACCATGAGAAGGTTGGACTGATTCCAATGTGGCATCAATCTTATTTCCTTCCTTGTCGGATTCTACATTTGCCAACTCAGCAACTGAATCATTAATGTCGGCTTTGCTACCCAAACTAGAATCTTGATGTTCAATGGCTTCTTCTGGCTTCTTTGAGGACTCTTTAACAGGTGATGAATCTTTTTCAGTCAAAGTAACTCTTCCTCCATTGCTCATAACTATTTTCAAAATTCTGGTGGGAGTGGCAACAGTCTCTGCAGGCCTTTCTGAATTCTCTTTAACCACCTACAATTGGGGAAAAAATTTCAACTTGTTAATAAATTTTCAGAATGTTGAATGTTCAAAAATGACAAAAAATACCATACCTGAGTTGTCTCTTCCGAAGATACTACTGTAATCTTGCTCTCATCAGCCTGTAGCATTTCATAATTCATACAGAAAGCATGTTACATGATAGAAAAAGGAACTTTACAAGATCGAAAATAATATAAATAGCATGCCTGTGGTGCCTCTTCTGAACGTTCCTTGGCCAATTTGTTCTCATCAGTCTGGAATATAAGAGTTTAAACAAAAATGTACACCATGTCATTGTCATCAATACAATTACTTCAAGAAGCATGTAGTGAGATAACTTTCAAATTATACCTGTTGCTGCACCAAATCACTCTCATCATTTTGCTCAAAAACAGTTGCCCCTTCACATACAGCAGCCAAAACTGGGCTATAGTTATCTAATGAATCACCCAAATCGGGGAGGGTTTTACTCAAATAAGGCCTGAGTATAGCTCTAGACTTCTCAAGTATTTGTTCCCCCAATTTCCGTGCCACTGGTAGAACTCCCTACATAAGAGGAAAGTGATTTGTCATTTGTCAAAGAAAAGAAAAGCAAGAAAGGAAATTTAGGGAAAAACAATACCTCGCTGTCATTTTTAAGGCTAAACAGTAGTGGTTTAAGCAAGTTATCTGAAACTTCTTCGATTTCTTCAAAAATAAGGCTCATAATATCTACCATTGATGAAAATATGTTGTCAGGATGATGTTCCCTGAAATTGAAAAGAAAGCAAAACGTTTTAGGTAACACAGATGAAATTTAAAAAGGGTATTCATGCGTCATCATTACTAAAATAACTTGAAATGGTAGTTAAGGTAAGGTACTCTCTACAACAAATAACATACCTTATTGATTTCAGAAAGTGCTCAAACATCTCCACAATCAACTCTTCACATTCAAGATCAAGCATAATAACACATGATCTGACTTTGCAAACAGTTTCAAGAATTGAGGCCCTCTTGATATACGAGCGGCTGGACTTGTCTGATAAATTCTCAAACGTAGAAACAATCAAGCGAAAGACATCCTGTAGATATAAATATAAAATATAAATAAACTGAATCTTTGTAAAGAGTATAATGAGACAGTTTAATGTTTGATCTGTTGTACCTTCAGTTCCTGATCATCAAATGGGGCATCAGGCGCTGTGACTCTTGTTATTTCACTGAGACATGCAGCCACTGCAACTTTCACATCCACATTTGAATGATCTACAAGACTTCTATCAACCAAGCACTTTTGTAATGGAGTTAGTACTTCTTTCATTAAATCATTGGGTGATTGATCCACCATCGATAGAAGTTTATCCGTTTGCTGAAATGTACAAATAAACGAAAACCAATTAGATCCACAAAATCCTACTTCTAAAGTTTTATTAAGGAATAAACATAAAACAAACAGCTATAGGCATGCATTAATTTAACTGCATTAGCCTTTGAATACCGCTAAGATCCTATCAGATACCGGATACCCACGTGATTACTTCTCATAATTACAATGCTTGTTGTTATTATTTTATACTACCTATTGTGCATATAGTTTATTTTTTTGTGAGTATAATCATGTTTGATTCTATAGATAACCTATATTTTGTGAGTATAAACTACCTATATTCAGATTCAGACATGACCTAAAGACGATTTATATAGACATTATGTTCTTGATGTATCTTGTACTACTTCATTTTGGTTGGCATAATTTATCTAAATCTGAAGGAACCCCATGGCCTAAAGGATTCATTTCAAATTCAGAGCATTAAGGTATGCAGGTCAAGTTTGACAATTGTCACACAGGAATTATAAAGGTTAAGAGTAAAACAATGTTACAGAAGTTGCATACACCTTATAGGTAGCATATAGCTTCATCTAATCGTCTATGTTAATTACCATGTATGGTCTTTTCGCCTTCAAATTTCTCTATGAAAGGAGCAAAAAGATATTCAGATAAGCTACTCCCTCCATCTAAGGTGAAGGATATGGGTTTTCCTCGGTATGTAGTGAGACTCCCTTTTGAGGAATTAGGGAAAATCAAGTATTGCTAGATTCTAACCCTTTAAATATACGCCCTAGTACTGACGATCACTGAGAACCTAAACTTTGTTACTTCTGTTCATAAAAGTAACATAAATGCAAATTACAAATGTAGCAATGTTCTCATGACAATTACTAAATCCGAACAAAGTAATCAGCATAATCATGCAAAATTAAGATACTATCTAATCTCAGATTAACCATAAAGTGTCCAAAATGGTGGTACAAGTAGCAAGAAACAACATGCAAGACTCAAAAGTACAAATAATTACATTTCAGACTGCCCAACAAACCCTCCAGAAATGGATGCTAGAAACAAACCGAACAAACAAACTCGCAGAAGGTTTAGAAATGAGGGCTTACATCAAGAACATGGAGAAGTTCATCATCGGAAGTCGGGGGCCGTAAAAGCCGCTTCCCTGCCTCCTTGAGCTGTTGCGTTAGTTGCAGCTCAACATCTGTCGTCACCATTTTCAAATTCTCTCACTATCTTAGGTTTCTCCTCGGACAAAAAGTAGTCTGATGCACCTCAGTCTACTCGTACCATTCAAAACCCTAACAAAACTCGTTGTAAGCACAAAAAACAAAAACCCTACGGAATTTGAAGTAGAATAGGCTAAAATTTTGAAGGGGTTTTTCAATGACCTTAAAAACCCTAGAAATCTAGCACGATCTTTGATAGAACAGCAAAAACAGTTGATTTTCTACTGAAAGAAACTATGACAGCATTCAAAGAGAGAGTTTATCCATTGCTTTTGAGACATAAAAGGAGGGAAATTAGGGCTTGTTTTTGTGAACATTTGTGGACAGAGAGGAGAATTGAGGAATTCTAAAAGGAACAAGTGTGCGTACTAGGCTCTACACAAGATTTATTTATAGGTGAAAAAAGACGAGTCCTTTTCTGCAATTTTATGGTTTTTTTTACGGTTGAATGTTTATTTTGTAGTTATAGCTTGTACTAAATGCTTTTTAATAAATAATTTTTAAAAAATATTACAATATTTTAATTTTTTTTTTTGAACGGCTGAATACTTCTGTTTTTCGTCCCTAAACAGTAGATCTTCTAGGCCTTATTTATTCTTTATGGCCATGTTTAGGGACGATGAGGGTGAATAAACAGATAAAATGTGTAATATTGTTTTTCGAAACAAAAACGGCTGAAAAATCACATATGCAATCCTCTGCAGCAGAAAATGTGGACCAAACGACTGCAGTCTGTAATAAGAAGTCTGTTTGTTTTTAAACGTCTGCCAATAAACTGAAATTAACCATATAAAAATTAAAAATAATTCTAAATCAAAAAATTATTTAGTTTAATCATATAAAATATAAAGATCATTCTGATGATATGATTTTTAAAAACGCTTATATAAAATAATTAAACATAATATTTGCTAAATAACAATAAATAAAATTGTTAATTTAGCGAACAACATGTTCATTTTGTTAAATTTTCGAAGACAATGGTTATTTTTCCGGTTAGCTTGAACAAATTTGATAATTTAAGTGATTAAACTTTATAATTAATTAATATTTAGTTATAGACAATGTAATACAAAAAAAAGATTTACATTAAATTTACCAAACGGTTTCGAAATTATGTAAAATATACTCGAATTGTTTATAATATCTTTCATAACATTATCAGAATAATAAAGATGTTGAGAAAAAACAAATCTATATTGAATAATATAACTTAAAGTAAAGTAAGGTGGAAAGTGGTTTGAAGAGGAAAATCCAATGTTGCGCTACGCAACACACGAGCAGCAGTTTTTAAATAAACAATCTTCTAAAAAAACAAACAGTTACGAAAAATCAAGTGTTGCGTATATGTTGTGCGGTGCAGCCATAAGTGGTTTTTTTTAAGTCTTAAAATAGATGTTTCGTGATATGAAAAATCATACTCGTGCTTAATACGTGTTTGGATTACATAGCAAAAGTGCAATTTTCATATCTTTTACAATTTTGCCAAAAATAAATATTATTGTTTTTATTATTTTTTAAATTATATTGTCAAAATAATATTCGATTTCTTCGAAAAAAAATTATCATATTACACCTAAGTTTGGTTGAAGTAATTAAATGGATAGGCAATTAATACAAACTGCCAACGAATATAAATAACGGTCATTAATAGTATATGAAATCTAATTTTATTACTGAAATAGAATATATTTGATATGATATAACTGTGAAGGCATTAATTATTAATATACATTTTTTTTAATACAAACTAGAAATATAGAAATATATTTATGTTTTATTTTTTTAAATAATTTAAAAAGAAATACTAAAACTGGTAGTAAATGCTATTTTGGGAAGCCGGTAATGGACACACGTGTGAACACTCGGATATGTTTTGGATATATTTTGGATTTCATAAATTTCAAAATCTAAGTCCGCCGATAAGATTTCATTTTCCTGCTTGAAAATTTTAACCCTTTATTTAGTTATCTTTAACACTTTATGCCCTTGCTTTCACCTAGCAAAAAAAAAATGTGTTCCTATGTTGGAAAGGAAAGAAGTTAAAAGAAATTGAATATTTTGTTTATTTTTTTCAAATTTGAAGGAAAGTAGAAACAAGACCGTATGAGAGGGTGGGTCAGCATGGACGATGGTCCAAAGCCTCCAAAGTTATAGGGCCTATTTTTTTATGTATGTACTAATATTATTATAAAAAAAATGTTTGATATTAAATCGTTGCATGCAACGGAAAAAAACTTTATTATTAAGGGTCTCATTTTTTTTATTTTGTCCAGGGCATCAAATCGGTTTGAATCGGCCCTGAGTAGAAGGGGAAATTTTCCTTCTATTTTTTTATTTTCTTCCATTAATATAACTCAAGAACACTAATTGTTTTTATTTTCTTCTTATTTCTATCTATTTTCTTTCTTTTCCCTTGTTAAGGTAAAATCGGGCATATAGCATTCACATGAGTGTTGTAATACTACGATTTGGCTTATAGCATTCGTTTGGCTGAAACATGCCGGAAGTGACTATAAGTCTATGGTTGGATCATAGCATTCACATATGGAAAACTAGGTTGGATCATGGCAGGAGAGACTGCAGGTCTACGATGGGCCCAGTCATCCCCTGGATGGAATACCCTCGTATCATAAACGGTTTGGTCCAGTCAACCATCGGGTTGGAATACCAAACATATCGGGCCCATTCAACCATCAGGTTGGAATACCTCAGGCCTATTGACTGATGCACAAAGCAGTCCAGTCTCACCACAATCCATACCATCATATCGGGTCCAATCAACCATCGGGTTGGAATAGCCCGGGCCCAATCAACCCTCGGGTTGGAATGCCAATACATAACGGGTCCAGTCATCCTCGGGATGGAATACCCTCAAGTTCTCAGTACGAGTCTGGTATACCACCCGATCCTCAGCTCGTATCTGGAATGCTCATGAGCCCTCAGTATGAGTCTGGCATGCACTCCCTGGCCCTCAGCTCATATCTGGTATGCTCTAGGGTTTGTTGGCTATAGCACGGAGCAGTACAGCCTCAACCCAACACAAAATGCCGACATATAACAGATAAACATATAAACAGCCTACAGGCAGACAGGCAGATATACAGATCACCAAACATAACATCATCCTATAAACCATGATACCGATCTAACATATCACTACTGAACAATAGCATGAATAATAGCATATCAAATCCAAAGGGACGGCCTTGGTGCCTTCGACGTGTAATTATAGTGAGGAAAACTCACCTCACACTGTCGAATCATACAGACGATCCCTGACTATTGACTGACAGATCCCTGAACCGCCAATAACAAGACAACACCCCATCACAGCTGATCCCACGAATAATATCTGACTGCATATCCACTAAGATCCATGCGCTATCAAATACCACAATGACAACCCATCAACATCTAGCCCCTGACTTACACTATGAGTCCAAATTAGGGTAAAAGATCTTTTTACCCTTCTTCAAGCTTGGCTCAAAGCCAAGGCCCAAACTAGATGACCAAAGGCCCAAAATCCAAAATAAACTTCTAATGCCCAAATATGGCCGAATTTTCCAAATTGGGCCAATTCCCTTTCGTGGGCCTTTACCCAAGAAAGTCCAACAAAACAAAAGCCCAGACCTTAAAATCCAGATGTCCCAACATGGCCCAAGACAATCTGAGCCTAAAACCGAAGCCCAGGACGAATGTAACACCTCGTTTATTAAATAAATAAATAGATAAATTAATAAACGAATAGTAGCCCTAAAATCCATAATTTTTAGCGGGGTGTTGGTTTCAGGGAGCCAAATGATATAATTTTGGATTTTGGGGGTTAAAAGTGTAAGTTATGGATTTAATTTAAAAAAGATTTCAGAATTCAGGGTGCGTTTGGTAATTGATGGACTTAAATTGAAAGGATTTGAAGGCTTAGGGGGGATGATTGGTAATTTCGGGACCTATTATGAAAGGACTTTTGGAGACAGGGGTTAAAGGGCCTGTGCAACCCTGCTGAAGGTGGCACCTCACCCTCGCCGCTGAGCATAGAGTCAATCCACGTTGTGGCCTCTCGCCCTAAATCACTAGCCCTCCCCCACTAGGAGTCTGAATCCTCACTAGCTGCTGCTCGCAGTCAATCACTTCCCCATTGGGGCTCAACCAATCCATACCAACTATAACCTTATTCCCTCGCAGGGGATAGGAACAAGATCCATTGTAAACTGTTCCTCGAATAACTGTAGTGTACAACCTCGGTGAACCCTCGCAACCCTAAAGGTCCTTTCATCTGCTATCTCCACATCAAGTGAGCAATCCAGCTCCCCCAGAGCTCTACTAAATCGCTTGCTAAGTGCGAGCGACACAAAAGATTGGGTAGCCCCCGAATCAAACAGTACCATAGCTGATATGTTGTTCATTAAGAACGATCCTATAGGCAAACACACAAACATGAGTAATAATAAAAAATAATAAAGAGATAATGGAGAAGATACATACCCGTAAGCACATCAGGGGCTGTACGTGCCTCCTCTGTTGTCAACTGGAAGGCTCTCCTCTTCGCCGTTGGCGCCTCTGCCCGGCCCTGGCGGCCGTCTGTAATCCTCAAAGTGGTAGGAGCGGGTGCCACCACCTGTCCTGCTGATGATAGACTCGGAAACTAGGACTTCTTGTGTCCCCTATGATTGCATTGAAAGAAAATCAGATCAGATGATGTAGTGGTGGTGGTGGTAGCAGTACAATCCCTACTCACATGCCCAGTTCGGCCGCACTTGAAGCAGCCCGCACTACCCGCCCTGCACGTCCCCTCGTGCGACCTATCCCATTTGTCGCAGCGGCCTCGGCCCTGCTGGCCCTTCCCTTAGGAATCTACCTTGGGCTTCTTGCCCTAGCCCTCCGTACCAGATGTCGCATTTGGTTTCCTCTTCCTCTCCATCTCTAAATCAATCTCTCTCTAGCTATGACAATCATATCCTCCAGCGTTTTGCAGCTGGATCGGCTCACAAACTGCCAAATTTCACTCCTCAACATCTCATGATATCAGACCTTTTTCATCTCCTCGTCCGCCACATACTGCGGAACAAGAAGGGCCCTTTCCCTAAACTTGGCGGTGATCTCCGCCACAGTCTTCGTCGTCTGCTCAAGATCCTGGAACTCCCTCGCTAGCTGTTGCACCTCAACCACAGGTGCAAACTCAACCCTGAACCTGGTCAAAAAATCAGTCCAGGTCATCGCATCCAAAACTGCATCATCTCCAATGGCTCTCCCAACCTCCTCCCACCAGTCACGTGCCCTATCCTTCAGAAGACAGGACGCACGTCTAACATTGTCCCCCTCGGGACATCTACTGGTGCGGAATGCGTTGGCGA